GCCTTGGCAGCAGTGGTCATCGCGTTCGCGTGGGGCGTATCGCGAATGCGTAAAGTCTTTTGTGGCTGTGTGAGTTTTATTCATCGCGAACGTGATGAATTTCCCTCGTTCGCGAAAGAGGGGGCCTAGGCAGATTATAAAGTACTCTATTTCGAGGGTTTCGGCCTTTTTTACATTTTGGGAGCTATGGAGCTCGGATTGAGGCAATTTTTGAAGCAATTTTTACCATATGAATTTGTGTAACTGTTCTCTACTCGGGTTTGGTAATATTTCATGAATCTATCTTCGTTTTTGGTAATTGGATTGTGAATTTTAAAGAGGAAATTGGGGTTTTGGCCTAAAGTTTCACAAGGTGAATTTTTGAATTTTGAACATCGATTCGAAATTGATTTGAGTGAAACTGGTATGGTTGGACTCGTAATTGAATGGGTTATCAAATTTTGTGAGTTTTGTCGGGTTCCGAGGTGCGGGCCCGAGTTGGACGTTTTGGCCGATTTTGGGCTGTTGATTAAAGATTCGACCTCTTTCATTTGAAATTATTTTCTTGGGCTTTATTTGATGTATTTGAGTTGCTTTTGGATAGTTTTGAGCCGTTCGAGGTCACTATGCGCGTGATGGCATCTTTGGAGCATCGCTCGGCTTGCTCGACATTGGTATTGGCTTGTTCGAGGTAAGTAACTCTTTTAAACTTAGTGTTGAGGCTATAAAATCCTGAAATACGTGTTATGTGATTGGTATTGAGGTGACGCACATGCTAGGTGACGGGTGTATGGGCGTGCACCAAGTGAATTGGGACTCTGTTGTTTTCATGGCACTGTATAGTAGTCTTATTTTGTTAATATCCGTGTTTTCACCATGCGATTAAGTAAATGAGCTGTCAATCATGCTAGATATCATGTTTAGGCTTTATGCCGATACTGTTGGGACCCATAGTGGTCGTTTCTTGCTGTCATTTCACTGATTTCATTGATATTTTGTACTCAGTCATATTCATGCATTCATATCATATCTCAGTCCCAGTTGTTATTTATTGATACACCATATCAGTGTTGTCGGGCTAGTTTCATGATATTGTGAGCCCGTGAGTGGGACTGGAGAGATTGATGACTGAGTGAGGCCGAGGGCCTGTTTGTGAGGATATTGATACTATAGCACGTGAGTTGACCGTGCAGCACGTGAGTTGTTCGTGTTGATCCAGATATTGATATTATAGCATGTGCGTTGTCCCTGGACATGGATCTTGTCCGAAGCATTTATATACCTGGAGATGGATCTTCTCCATGGGGCCGGATTGGCATTCCTCGGTACTGAGTGACTGATGGCCAGTGATGTATATATTCCAAGATGGATCTTCCCTGGGTCGTATGGGCCATATACAGTACCGAGTGGTTGAGCATGATGAGTGAAAAGTGTGAGACAATGAGATTGAGTACTCTGAGAGTGTGAGTACATGATTCATCTCTGAGATACATGGCATTGGCATGCACACATTACATACAGGCATAGAGATGCATTTTTCCTCATGTTGTACGGTATCACGTCATTCATGACTTTTTACACACATTGATATGTGGGCATAGAGCGGTATTTCACACTTGCTATCAGGAAAGAAAATAAAACATCATATTTATTGTGGAAAGGAAATTTGGAAAAATTACACTGTTCAAACTTACTCGTATTTTTGGCATTTTCGGTAAAAGATTTGGGTTTTCACTAAGATACTTGAAAAGCATGACCATTTTCTGGAACTGTGAACGAGCTGAGCATTTTACTTCTGAGATACATTTTTTACTACTTGTATTATGCTGTTATGAACTGTTGTGGGATATTGGTATTGGACCCGACCTTGTGTTAGCTCGTCGCTACTTTCAACCTAAGGTTAGGTTTGTTACTTACTGAGTACGTGGGGTCGGTTGTACTCATACTACACTTCTGCACCTTGCGTGCAGATGTTGGTTGTTGATGTTGTTGTGTTCGATGGGAGCTGGATTGAAGATGTACCTACGTCTCGGTTATAGCTGCCCTTTGTTCGTGGTAGCTTTAGATCTATAAAACTCTATTTATGTACTTTTCAAACAGACGATGTATTTATTTCATTTCAGCTTTGTAAACTCTATTCTTAGAAGCTCATGATTTGTACTACCAGTCCTGGAAAATGTATAAAATTCAGTAAATTACTATCGTTTATTTGTCTTGCTAATATCATTAGAATTGGATAGTTACTAGTTGGCTTACCTAGCGGGTTGGGTTATGTGCCATCACGAGTAGTGGATTTGGGGTCGTGACATGATTCTTCTTAATTTTTATTGTGTGTGGAACTACTCTCTTTTGTTAAGTGAGGGCACTTGATTCATGAAAGAAAGGTAATGTCGTTGACCTCTATATTAGAGTAAGTGAGTGAGTTGTGAATAATGCATGGTATTTGTGAGTCAAATCTTGAGGTGAAGATGTTACACTATTGTGCTTAGTCTATTTTAAATATTCTTGGTGTAATGAGTTAGGAGAGTTACTTAGTAAGGTTATGTCTATATAAAGTGTGGTTTGATTGAACGAGGACGAACAATAGTTTAAGCATGGGGTGTTGATGGTAGGTTATAATCTCATGTTTTAGTCGATTATTACATTCCAATTTACTGCACTTTAGTTGAGTTTGAGCTTTAATCGCTAGTGTTTTGCACTAATTGTGTGTTTTATGCCTTGTAGGAGTGATTCCGAGCTATGTAGATGTTATGGAATGAATTCAAGTGATTTGGAGCTTTGAAGTCTGAGTAAAATCCCAAAGAATTAAGCCGGGATTGTGTTCGGGGATCAACGGATGATAGTTAAGAACGAACGAAGAATCGAGCAGGCATATTGCGCAGTGTCTAGTAAAATGCACATAACCTTTCGCTCGAAACTCCATTTCGGCAGCACAATATATTGTTGGAAAGCTAATTCAAAGGTCTACAACTTTCATGTTTTACGTTATGTCAAATTCCTAACAACGCAGGATCAGAAGGGCGCGGAAAATGCACGGCCGTGCACTAACCGCGCATATGGGGCAGAACAGTGTGAAAAGTGCGCGGCCAAGTGCGCGAGCACACTTCCAGGTGCGCGGCCGCGCACGTCCAACTCCGGAAAAGTATCCTTTTTTGTGTAGGTGAAGGTGTTTTTATTTGGGCCCGACCCTACTAGGTATATATACATAGAAAAATGGTATTTTGAGGATTTTTGACACATCTAAGACCTAAGGAGGCTAGAGAGAAGAGGGAGAAGCAAGAGCACAAGGATTTCACCATTCATCCTCGCTCAAGACAAGGTTTGGATGTTTTATGTTTTCCTTTGACTTAAACTTAATTGAGATGAATTTTTCCATATCCATAGAGTAATCTTTCCATAGGGATTGATGGATTTGGTATTTTGAGAATTATTTGGGGATATTAACTCTAGTTTTATGTATTGAATCATTTTGGGTATTTTTATTATTGCATATATATTCACTTATTTATATAATCGAAAGAGGCATAATTTGTGATGTTTTGCATTATCTTATTGGTTGAATTCATTGATTCTTGTTAGTAATCGAAAGAGGCTAGTTGAATTAATGTTATGACCTAGTTAGGAGGATAATCGAAAGAAGTTCTCCTAAGGGTAAATCCACTACGAATTCTTGCATATTTTCACCAAGCTTAACTTAGTTCATATCGTAAGGTTGAGATTAATAGAGAGAGGAGTTTCTACTAAATGTTTGAATATATAAGAGTGAATTTGAGAGACTCACTTGAACCATAGAAGTGAAGTAACTAGATTTAATTCCCAAACAAATATCTTACACCTATCCAATCAGCCATATTTCCTCCCTTGATATCTTCTTGCTTTCTCTTGTTGCAATTGTCATTAGCCAATAGTTTAGACTTTTAGTAAATTTTAGTTTTAATTCACACAACTCTAAATTGTTGATCATCTTGGATAGCAATTAAAACTAGAAGCTACGAAAACACTGTTTAACTCAAATCCCTGTGGATACGATATTTTCTATACTATATTCGACTAGCGAGCATAATTTTGTGTTGTATTTTTAGCTCATCATTATACTTGAAAAGCATGTCTACTTTTCCGTAACTGTGAACGAGCTGAACACCATACCTTTTAAGTTATTCACTTTTATTGTCTTCATTATATTATTACGAGTGGTTATTGGCTATTGGTGTTGGACTCTGGCCTTCTTCCGAGCTCGTCACTGCTTTCAACCTGAAGTTAGGTTTGTTATTTACTGATTACATGGGGTCTGTTGTACTCATACTGCACTTCTGTAACCTTGCGTGCAGATCTTGGAGGTGACGCTGTTATGTATGGCGGGAGCTGGCATTGAAGATATACATGCTTTTCGAATATATATAGTTGCTACTTGTTCTTGGTAGCTTTAGATTTGTAATCTTTTTATGTATATTTCGAACAGATGATATATTTATTTTGTACCTGCTTTGTAATTCTAAGTCTAAGAGGCTCATGACTTGTACTACCAATCTTTGAGATTTTGTATAGAAGTTCAGTTATTTTACTCATTGACTCTTATTATTATCATTTGAGTTATGTTAAATGTTATTTGGCTTACCTAGCGGGTTGGGGTTAGGTGCCATCACGATTAGATGGAATTTGGGTCGTGACATTATAATTTTAAACTTATGGGTTCAGACCTACCATTCTTTGCAATTTTAATGAATTTATACATATAAATTTATGTTCTGCGTCGAAACTTATGAATTCAGATGAACCCGATACCACTACTCCACATCCTCCCATGTTGTCCGCTAGTGCTTCTACTTTGCTACAACGTAGGCATAGTGTTTTACTTGGTTTATGAAGACCTTAGAAATCAGTGAGAAATGTTAAATACAAAAGTAAATTAATCTTGCTTTTTTTTCTGGGAGGGTTGTTGTTTTTCAGTTTCAGTATGGTTTAACAATTTAATCACATCACATTGAACCAAACATTCGAAATCTAATTAAAATGTGACAATCCTAGGACAAGGTTAAACCAGAGGAGAATGTGACTCCAGCCAAGTTTGAGCCCTTCATCTTGCAATCAGGTAACGGGAGCCACGTCCACTGGTCGTCCTTTTTGTCATACCTTAACCAAATTGTGTCCCATGCACCCTTTAGATTGGTCATCAAAATTGCCCTTGTTATCCCTTTCCCTTTTTGCATACACCCCATCATAGCACCATATGGCTTGCTTATTTTATAAATTAGATCATTTGGTGCCCTTGATACAAATTCCCAATACCTCCCATTTGTGCTCAACCCCCATAACTCTATTCCCTTTATCTTTCTAATTGTTTTATTCACATCATCAACTTTGCCTGATCTAATAGTAATCATATTTCCATCACCGTACACGTGTAATAGATCGATGGTGTTTCCCCAACTAAATCCAACAGCTAATTGATCTTCTTCGTTCCCTCGGGTGTTGAATGTTGGTCGGATGACAACTGGAGTGCTGTTGCATTGAGGTCGCACGGCTATGATGACACTTGCGTTACGTCCATTAGATGCACTTAGGAAAATAAAATCACCTTGTAAGTCTTGGGTAATCTCTCTTGCTTGCATAAATTGCCATCTCTCAACTCTTGAATCATACTCGAATAAAGTTGGATGACTTTGATGTAACTCAACAAACATAAATCGAAAATGCTTGGAACTAGAAGGGCAAGAGAGTAATTTCATACCGGATCTTCGCCACGAAGATGTGCCACGTGGACCTAACGGGCTTGGAGGGATCTTTTTCACCATCCTAGTCATAATATCAACTGACATAACTTCCTGCCTGTTATTCAAAGCAAAGAGGAATATATTACCAGAAGCAGTCAAAAAGTAGACATCTTCACCTGGCGGAACCACTTGTTTCAACAAATCGGCGATCAATATATTAAACCACCGGTTGGAAGAATCGGCGAAGCCATAGAGCACAGCCTCACGGCGCCACCGTTTCATGTAGAGGAACAGCCACGTGGCGGAGCTCGATTGAAGATTGTAGTCGCGAACGAAATCCCGATCAGAAATAATAGAGGAAATGGACTTATTGACAGATTTCAGTCGGATAATCTCAGGCAAGGCAAGCTGAAGAATTATATATTGGATGAGCTCCGAGGGGAGTAAGCAAAAACTGATGACATTTGTGGGCAAATTCCGGTGACTTTCCATCAACATACAATTAATTGTTGCATTTAATTGTTGCAATGGCTTTGTTTATATTGTGACAGTGTCAAATTAATTAATCATGTAATTTATTCATTAGTGGAGAAGACAATGGAAGCTTACCTATGTGGAATTGTCGTCATAGTGGTAGAAACGAATGGTGGATATTAATGTCATAGAATATTTAATAATTTTTTGATTATGTAACACAGAGACTAATGATGTGTATATTTAATTTCTAATGAGTTTTCTTTCTGAAGTCAAGTTTGGCCTTGAGTTTTATTGAAGAGGGTTAAATAATTCATACGGAGGGTTAATGTGGACAAACCCAACTATAAACAATACATACAAGTATTATAGCGTTTTATTGTGTGGAAGGAAGAGATACACAACAGAATAAAGCCTCGGAGCTGAATCATCCCCTCTGAATTCTGATATAGGTCAAACTTATTTTTAGGGGCGCACCTAGGTCGGGTTGGTTCGAATTTTCTAATTACCAAACCAAACCAATTATATCAGGTTATTAAATCTAAAGAACAAACCAATAAAGGTCGAATTTTTAAATCTCGATTTTTTCGGATTGTTTTGGGTTTTTTTTCATAAAGTCTTCATAGCACAAAACATAGAATTTGTGCTCCAAATATTTCTTTAATCCTAGTAAGACAGAACTATATAAGGTATTTTTAATAAAATAATATAAATATGAGATGATTCGTGGCATTGTACTAAAATATTCAACAATAAAGATGAGAAAATCGCATAAAATAAATATTATTAATAAGCTATAATGAAAACAAACATAATTTAAAATTACTAATAAGTTGCTAAAATAAGTAAGACTAATAAGTACTATTATTTATATGACTAAACACTAAAAGAAAAATAAGTTAGGCATTTAATCTAAACCATGAAAAAACTAAAAAATAGATATCCAACATTATTTCCATTCATAGTACAAGTGAATTGAATGAATTTTATTATCATTAGTATTGATTTGATTTTGGTTTAGGATTTATTTGAGTTACTGACGTTAACTTATTGGAGCATCCAAAAATTATAAGCCCAAGCTTGAATTAATACGTTAAAAGATAAAATTATGACAAAGCTTAAGAAATATTTATAAAGTACACTACAATCAATAAATATTTTCATGTATTAAATATATTTAAAACATCTATACATATAAGTCGGATTGGTTTGGTTTCGGTTTGACTTTTTTTAGTTAAAACCAAACCAAACCAAATATCGTCGGGTTTTTTTTTTCCAATACCAAACCAATCAAACCAAACGATAGTCGAGTGTTTTTTCTCGGTTTGACTCGGATTATCGGGTTGGTGCAGTTTGTCGGTTTGATTTGTACACCCCTACTTATTTTATTGGTAATCATTGCCATTGTCTTTATCTTTTTTTATTATTTTTTTCCAAAATTCCAGGTTGATTCCTTGACTTTAAAATTCTAGCGTATTATTTATCAAGTATATTTGAATGTTATCAGAAAAGAAAATTCAACAGGTAAGTTAGTTGCCTTATAGAGAACTGCAATTTTCATGAGGAAAGATAGACACGAATCATTCCTCCACAGAATGGCTAATGCACAAGTACTAAACCTTTATTATTCTATTCGTTTCAGTTTTATATTGTACGACGTTGCTATAATTTGAAGAGTTAATATCTTTGATAACAAATTTTTTTTATACCAATATAATTTTTTTTTATTACATTTTATCTAGTTTTTATTTATATAAACTTTATTTCAAAGAAATTCAGAAATTGATGTCTAAATAGACTAAATATTGAAGGTCAAACCTGGTAATTCAAATTCTTTCATTCTTTTTCAAGCTAATGTAGTATATATATAGGCTATTAAAACTTGCATACATTGATCGTGTACAAATACCATAAACATATTCCTATACTATTTTTTTTCTAGATAATTTTGGTGCCCAGGCCCCTCGCACACCTTAACTAATTAACTAGGTACTTGCTATCATTCACCAAACATATGTATCAGCCAATTATGTTCACTAATGTTTAGACAAATAAGAAAATCAGAGTCTTTTTATCTTTGCTATAATTTGAACCACGGTCTCTCATGGTTCCTTCGAACTTCATTGACAGCTAAATATCATTCTCATTAGTATGTCTTTGGCAAACAAAGATGGTTAAGTTGAACTGTTGAAACAAGTAATTGCTAACGCATGAGGGCACGTTGGAGTCATTTCCACATTTAGGAAACAAGCACTAATTCCTAACCCAATCTCGATGACTTAAAGGTGGCTTTTAAGAGGCATAAGGGTTATTTGACCTTTGCTCAAAGGCCTAAGTTTGGAATGTATCCCAGGCTTGGCGGTTCCGATAAGGATGTATATTAAAATTAAGACATCTGAATCTGAATATTAAGATGAGTTTTAAGATCTGAATACTAAATAATCAAGACTATTTGTTCTTTAAACATAATATATAGAATTTATTTTTATTTAAAAATTAATAAACATAAATTCAAATAAAAAACTAATTAATCTAATATTCTATGAATAATATAAATATAGTTGATGGTGGTGATAGCTAACGAAGGTGCTTGTGAGTGCCGACTAGAGGCGGTGGTTGGTGGTAATTTTGATTGATGGTGGTAGCTCTGGGTAGTAGCTAGTGGTGATTGATAGCGATAGCGATTAGGGTTGAAGATAGTGGTGGGTGGATGGTGATAGCGATAGCAAACAAATGAGGCCTCACGTAGTGCCGTATTAGAAATAGCCCAAGAGGGCCCTTCCCATCCCAGTTTGATACTTTTGTTTTTCTTTACTTGTCGTTTTACCAGTTTCTCTATTTCCTCTTCACCAATTTGAAAGTAAAATGAGGGATTAGACTCATGTTAAGTGTTCATATTACCTAATACACGTACATCCTGTCCACTTACTACACATTTTTAAGTGGTTTACTTCGTTAAGGGGGAGAGAAAAGATTAAACTTAAAAAGTAGTACTTCTATCCCGGATTAAATTTTCACCTTTTGCATTTTATTTCATCAAATAAAATAAATTTCCAACCCCTACCTTAAGGTCCAGTAAATTGGTACCGTTGAAGTAAGTTTCTTTATCCTTCGGTTAAACATTTGTCAAAAGAGGTTTAGCATGAGCAAATCAAGTTTTTCAAAACATCTGAGCTGAGCTAAACGTTTTCAAGAAAAGTTTAGGCCAGTCAGCCCGAGAAATTTTACAAAAGCCTTACACAACAAACACTACCACATGTATTAGGCTATTTATTTGCTTAAACAATCACTTGTCTCCAACAAATCCTCCAACTTTTTGTCTCTGCCCCATTCTCTAATTTACTTCAACTCTTTCCTCTCCCTTCTCTTTTACTCCTGTAACTCTCTCCAAACTCTCTTATGCAACTATTTCCTCTCTTCCATCTTAATATTTTCCCCCCTACAACACATCGAGATACCCCAGCTCCCTCTAATTGAAAACGCTACCTTACAGTTCATTTTTCAGAAACGTTTCTGGCGCAAATGCAGCACGCAATACTGACACATATTGGGG